CCTGCCTAGGCAGGAAATCCTATACCGTTTCAGACAAATGACCATCCAACATCTTCTTAAAGACTTCCAGTGTTGGGGGAATTCACAACTTCTGGAGGCAACTTCTGTTCCACTGATTAATTGTTCTAACTGTCAGGAAATTTCTCCTCAGTTCTAAGTTGCTTCTCTCCTTGATTAGTTCTTCTTGTTCTACCCTCAGGCTCCTTGGAGAATAGTTTGATTCCCTCTTCTTTGTGGCAGCCCCTGAGATATTGGAACACTGCTAACATGTCTCCCCTAGTCCTTCTATAAGTCCTTCCTATATTCTGACAACCTTTTGGGGGTCATTTGCCATTTTGTCAAACAATTATTTTCTTACGCTTATTCTAGACCCCCATCCATTCCCCACCACAAATATTCCCCAAAGCGGGCAAAGAAAACCTGCCTCTCCCTAATGGAGAGCAAGATGATAGCTCTGATGAAAACGAAGCCCTTGACCAGAGCAAGAAGATCAGGTCCCCTTCTCGGAGAGACAGCTACAGTGACAGCAGCGGGAGCGGCGGGGAGGAACCCACCACAAACCCAGCCAGCCCAAGGTGGAATTCTGCTTTGTATCAAACCCCAAGCCAACCAGCACCTCAAGCACCTAGTCCTTATGAGACGTCCAGCAAGCAAAAGGAAGCGATCCACGCAGTGTTTTGCTCTCCCCATGAGTCATCTAGGAAGCAAGACATGGAGAACAGGCATGTTACATTGGTTGACTTCATGGCATGTGGTTTTGCTTGTGTTTTATTTGTTCAGTTGTGTGATTCTGAGACTGTTCAGACTTCCCGAAGGCAACTGGCAAGTTGCATGTGTCTTCTTTGTGCATTTATCAAAATAGTGAATTTTGATTGCATTTTTGTAACAAGAGGCATGTTTGTTGTTGGCAAAATGTTCCTAGCCCTTGTCTAATACATTTGTCCTCCAGTTCATTTCTGATAATGCAAACGCAGTCAGCTAAGAGAAAAGTCTTTGGGCAGGGGTCAGCATCCTTTAACACTCAGAGCCACAAAGGTCCTAACCAGAAGCTTCCTGTTCAATTCTGGAGCCAACCAGAAGACCGGTTCCCCCACCATAGAGTCTCCTCCTAGCGTGGCATCCCTTTTCCTCTATCTGTCTTAACCAAAAGCCCTGTCAATTGTGAAGCTGACTGGAAAACCCACCCCCTTGCCATAGATCCTCCTCCTGGCGTGCTGTGCTTCCCCCCCCCTCCCCTCAACTGGAAACTCCTCTCAAAATTGTGGTGCCAACTGGCGACAGGGAGCCGCAGCAGAGAGTTGAAAGAGCCACATGTGGCTCCAGAGCCACAAGTTGTTGACCCCTGCTTTGGGCTAAATAATGAGAGATAGAATGGAAAACTGCCCTCGCCACACTCCTCTGGGAAACATTATGCCCTCTTTCTCCCATATGAAGATAATAAGGGTGGCTTAACTGGGATGGAGTGTCCTGAAAGCCTCATTTCAAAACTGAAAATTTAATACAATTAATAAATCCCCGTACCTCTGGAGCTGGCAACTATATCAACTCTTGTCAGTGACACTGGAAATAATCTTTTTCCTCCCTTTTTTTGTCTTGTAGCAATCCTCCATCACCTCTGTTAATGGAACTGTCACCCATAGCAAACCAAAGAACCATCACGCTTAATTCTACAGAAGAAAAATTCAACTCTTCTATCTCTGACTTCACATCTCCACAAGGCAGATTGGCACCTCTTTTCAATCACCTTGAAAAGCACGCAGATGAATATGAACCAGTAATTCCTACTTTTTTCCTGATTGTCGATTGTGGGTATGGGTATGGGTAAATTGCACAAATTCAACAAAATTCAGGTTACTTAGCTGAAAAGCTGACTAGGGAATTCTGGGAGTTGAAGTTCATATATCTTAAAATGGCCAAGATTGAGAAACGCTTATCTGGCCAATTGTTCAAACCGAGGCTTTCCAAGAGCATGAAGCAAACTCCTTGTCCTAAAAAAAAAAAACAAAAAAAAAAAACACCTTTTATTAGTTTACTGTGAATTCTGCTCATTCACATTCAACGAAGTCTTTCAAAGGAGGATTTACAGTCACAGACCTTATCTGGCTTGGAGAGCTTGGCAAGGAG